TGCTGCATCCTGGCTACTTGCTGTGGCTAGGCTCCCCACCCTGGTGTCCTGGCCTGCTCCTGGTGCTTTTGGAGCTTGGCTCCTGCTTTTTGCAGCCTGTGGGAGAACAATGTTCTTCATGCAGGCTGGGGCAACTCGGTACCCAAATGGGCTCCTCACCAGTTCTGGTCACTTGAGTGACTCCCACTCAAGAGGGCAGCGATGTGTTAGGGGCATAGAGGCACCTGGGAGGTGGGCCTGGCAACACCATCAGGGTGTCCCCAACCCCTGCCCCAGGCCACCTCCCTGCAGGTGCAGCCCATCTGGAGTGCCCACTGCTCACAGCTGCCTCTTCTGTCCCTTGCAGCTACCTGAAGCAGTTCAAGGAGATGAAGCTGAAGGTCCTGCAGCGCTGGAGCCAGCAGATCCTCAGAGGCCTGCACTTCCTGCACACGCGCTCACCTCCCATCATCCACTGTGACCTGAAGTGTGACAACATCTTCATCACTGGCCCCACAGGCTCTGTTAAGATTGGGGACTTGGGCCTGGCCACCCTCAAGCGAGCCTCCTTTGCCAAAAGTGTGATAGGTATGTGGGCAAGACCTTTCCTCTGATGCCCTAGCACAGGGCTGTGCACATAGCCAGGTCCCTGGAGGGGAAGTGTCTCTTGTCACAGCTGAGTCCCAGACATGCCAAGGAGCTGTGTGTGGTCTGGCTGGGGGCATGGGAGCCTTGGCTTGAATCAAGAAGGGCATGAAGCCTGCTGGGCTTAAGGTCTCCAGCTACTGCACCTCATAAAACAGGAGGGCTCCAAGTAACCCTTGGGTAGCAGGATGGGCTTGGGGTATGGCCGTTCTTACAGGCCTTGGATTGGGCAGTGGGTGGTATTGGGCTCTAGCCCCTACATCTTCCCCAAGCAGCCTGGGTCTTGGTCCTGAGCTATGTCCTGCGTGCCCCCAGGCACTCCAGAGTTCATGGCCCCGGAGATGTATGAGGAGAAGTACGATGAGGCAGTGGATGTGTACGCCTTCGGTATGTGCATGCTGGAGATGGCCACCTCAGAGTACCCATACTCAGAGTGCCAGAACGCCGCCCAGATCTACCGCAAGGTCACCTCGGTGAGTGAGTGCCTGCCAGCCTTATCAGCCCTTCCCTGCGGGGCCACTCTTCATGTGCCATCCCAGCCCTGGGCTCTCCACCCACTCTGAGGGCTGCCTGCATCCTCCTGGGCACTGCTGCCACTTTTGCAGTGCAGCATGTAAGGTGGCATGGCCCTGCAGGTTTGGGCTGTCCAGGCAGGTTGCAGGCAGCTCCTGGGCCATGGAGTATGCTGCTGGCAGCATGACTGCCATGTCCATGTCCCTGATGATGTGAGGCTGGCGGTCCCCAGGGCTATGGGACCAAGTGAGGGCAAGGGTGTGGCTCAATGGACTGGGTGTACTGGGGAATTTCCAGGCTTGTTTGGGCAGCAGTGAGAGTGCAGGGATGGGCAGGGTGGGGGGGAGCTTATTGATGGGGCAGGCTTGCTTAGGGCTAGTCTTTTGCCCAGGACTGTCAGGCTTCACCAGCTCCTTGAATCCATCACTTCACATGTTATGTAAGAAGCTAAAAATAATTGTCAAGGTTGGGAGGATGTGTGCCTCAGCTGGCAGCAGTGTGGAGTCTGGCCAGCCCTGGCACTTGCCTAGCTCTGTACAGCCCTGTCCTTGGCAAGCTGCTCCCCTACACGGAGGCAGGCAGGAGGGGCCTGCCAGGCAGCACAAGGGATCTGCAGCAATTTGGGCTCTGGCTCTGTTGCACATGCAGCCTTTGCCAGCTGATGTGCCCTCCCTCTGCAGTGAGCCCCCTGGGGCAGCTGGGCACCCCTATGCTCAGAGCGGCCCTATCCCTAGCACTGTCTCTGCTGCCTGGAGCCCCTGACACTGGTGTGCACTGCCCTGTGCTGGATGGCCTTGCTTCTAAGAGGTCCCTCCTGCCCCAGGGGCTGTGCCAGGAACAGTTGTAACAGTCTCAGACCAAGTACCTGAAAACGCACATCTGTCCCCTTAGCTTGGTTTGGTTGCCTGTGCCTGAGAGGTGGGGCTAGTGGAGAGGATTGCTCTTGCGGGTGCATCTGGCCTCTGCTTTCTCCAGGCTGCCCTGTCCTAGCCTTGCAGGTGGTCTGCACTACCTGGAGGCCTCTGCTGTTCCTGGGTAAGGCTGCTTTCCCTTCCCATTGCAATGCTGTCTCTGCAGCCCCTGCTCTGCTTCTGGCTTCCATCCACTTCCCACCAGCTGTTCCCCAGCATGTCTAGTGGGCATTGTGCATGGGCAGCGGCTGGGGACGTGGTTGGGGGGGGGCGGCGGTTCTAGCCGCTCCCATCTGGCTCTGTGCCCTCAGCTCCTCAGTCACTCTGAGCTGGCTGGATCCAGTGCAGGGCCGGTTTGTTCCCTGATTGCTGGCCTGGGAGATGGAAGCCACAAGCCTCAGGAATTTAAATTGCCCCCATGTGTGCAAAGTTCTTGGGGGTGCAGGGAGGTGAAGGGGAGGGCCTCACCACTGGTGGGTGAAAGCAGTCCTGGCTCTGGCATGGTTTTGAGCAGTTGTGCTGAGCTCAGTCATTGCAGGGGGGTGAAAGGCTCTGTCACTGCAGGTGGTGAAGGGCAATGGCATGTCCAAAGGTGAGTAATTGGGTAAGGGAGGTGTTTCTTCTAAGACCCTCCTGGTGGAGCTGTTTCTATGCACAGCTTGCAGCCCTGTAGGTTGAGGCCCCAGAGACCTGGAGGGAGCATGTCCCTTGCCCTTGGGCCAGTCTGGGAGAGCCCTGTACCACTAAGCAATCCTTTGAGCTGTGGGTGGCTTTTGCGGAAAGGGACCTGCTGGACTGAGGGTGACTGCTTTTCCGCAGTGCCAGAAACCCAACAGCTTCTATAAAGTGAATGTGCCAGAGCTGAAGGAGATCATAGAGGGCTGCATCTGCATGAATGAGAGGTGAGCACACGGGGCTACTGT